AATTTTCTTTTTAGGGATATTGATTCAATAAATTTGATGGTTATAGAATTATTCTTTTGTCTATTTTGGTAAGCTATGTATTTCTAAAAATGTTCCCATTCTTCTAAATGTTACACATTTACTGGCTTTAAGTTGTTCATAATATCATATCTATTTAATGTCACAACAGAAACTTTAGTTATGTCCTCTTTTTCATTCCTGTTGGTTATACATCACAACCTGCTCTTTCTTAATTAACTTTGCCAGAGGTTTGTCACTGTTGTCTTTTTCCAAAAGTAAACTTTTGACTTGTTTTTATTGCTTTCTGCTCGCATCTTTATTTCCTTCTATTTCCCTTGAGATTGTTTTGTGCTGTTTTTTCCTAATATGTTAAGATAGATGCTCTTCTCATTAATATTCAGCTTTTCTTTCTGCCAGACACATTGAAGGCCATCAATTTCTCCCAACTACTGTTTTAGCTACAACGCATTAATTTTATTAAGTATTTCACTAGTGTTCAGTTCCACTTATATTCTAGGATCCATTAGGATTTGATTGATTCAAGGATTATTTGGAACTGTGTTAATTTGCTAAAATATGGGGCTGTTTATCACTTCCACAATGCTAATTTATTTATTTATTTATTTACTTATTTATTTGGAGGTTGTTGTTTTTTTATTAGTTTCATGTGTACAGAACAATGCAATAGTTATCCTTTTCACCCCTCACACAGAAACAGTCCCCCTCCCCCATCCACTGCCCTCCCTCCCCCGATATCACACTTATTACGTTCCATTGACTCCATTCCCACACTCTACTCCACGTCCCGTGAAATGATCCTCCTAGTGAATTGACCCTTTCATTGTATGAAGTTACTTTATCTCTAGCAATGTTTCTGCCTTAAAATTTTCCCAGATATTAATATATCTATATCATATTACTTTTGGTTGGTAAAACTTTTGGCATCATTTTACTTTCAAACTTTCTGTATTTGATGCTTTATATATGGTCTCTTACAACAGCCTATACTGTAATTGCTTTCATTTTTCAACCAGTTTAATAATCTGCCTTTAATGGGATAACTTAGTTCATTTACATTAAATGTAATTATTCACATATTTAGGTTACTTCTATTATCTCAATTTTTTTCTATTTATCCTTCCCCTTCTATGTTTCTTTTTACATTCTTTATAACGATTTTTTTCCTATTTCATTTTTCCCCTCTACTAGCTTAGAAATTATATACTCATTAATATATAACAACCATTTTAGTGGTTTTTATAGAGAAATAAGTTATACAGTAGAAATCACATTTATACTTAATTAGTATCTTTATTCTCTTCTCAGACCATCTACATTTAGAAAACTTACTCCAATCATTACCCTACTAACTTATATATCATTATTCTTGTGTATTGTAAAAATGCTCATTTAACTCCATGAAACATTGTTATTTTATATGGTAAATGCTCCTTTGGGTTAATCGATATTTACAAACATCTTGATCCTTTATTCCTTCTTTTAGCACCTCCCCACTATATCCAGCACATCCTTTAGACTAATCTCCTTTAGTAAGAAACTGTAGGGGGCAACCTTGCTCATGCTTTGTTGTCTGAAACTGTTTTTATTCCGTCATCATTTTTTACATATATTTGGTGAGTATAGAATTTTAAGTTGGAAGTTATTTTTCTTTCACACGTTAGATATAGTCACCCAACTGGTTTCTGGCTTCCACTATTTTTGTTGGGAAGTCAGCTAAAGAAACGTCTAGCTGATATTGCACTGAAGGTTATCTGTGACTTTTGTTTTGGCTGCTTTTACAATTTGTTTAGCATTCTACTGTTTCAGTATGGTTTATCTAAGTGAGAATTTCTTATTTATCCTGCTTGGGATAAATTTGTAGGCTTGTATTTTTCATTGGTTTGAAAAATTCTCAGCAATTATCTCTTCACATATTGCTTCTGCCCCATTATCTATTTGAAACTATTATTAGCAATACTTTAGACTCTGCTTTATCCTCCTCTCTTTCATAGTTTCAAGCTCCTTTTTTGTGCTACATACATTCTGGATAATTTCTTCTGTCCTAATTTGCAGTTGTTAATTTTCTTTTCAGACCCATCTAATCTTCTGTTAAACCTGCCCATTGATTTATTTTTAATTTTAGTTATTCTATTTTCCATTTCTAGAACTTCTATTTGGTTCTTTTTCAAGTATGCTAGGTCAGTTTTCATAATGCCTTGTTTCCTGTATTTTCAAACTTGACTTTTTATTTTTTAAACCTATAAACATAGATGTTTTACATTATGCATGTGCTAATCCCAAAGTTGTTTTCTGGTGGTCTTTGCTGCCTTTCATTCATGATGCTAGTCTTCCCTGTCATTTATTTAAACTTGAGGTGTTCACTTCCTAGAAAAGTTATCTGTGACCCTAGCACCCTCCAAATGTGTGTTTACATCTGCCAGGCACTCATTCTGGAGCCACTAAATTCATAAGGTTTAGCACCCAGATGACTTGCATTTGGGGTGGCCTACAACTTTGCACAAATATCGGAGGTTTGCTTCTGGCTCACTCTTACCCTAGCCGTGCAATTATTAGGGGCTGGCTGTCTCCAACCCTGGTGCGCTCCAGGCTTTGTCTTCTGCCCACTGTATTCCAAAGGGCCTTCAAAACCAAAGCTGAAATTCACCCTTAGGACAACCGAGGCTTCAGGGTTTGACTTAGATATTGGCCTTGGAACTACATAATCTCTTAGGATACTGTCAACTCCTAAATGCATCTCAGAAATGCTTTTATATTCTCCCTAAAAGTTTAGTTTTCAGCAAGATAACTGCTCAGGTTGTCTGCCACATTACTGAAAAGGAAATCCAACATCTTTGTGGAAATGTATATTTTGTGGCATCCTTTTCTTATCTGTGTCAGGAAATTTTCCATGTCATTAAAAATTTGTAAACCTACATTTAAATTGTTTAATTATACATGTTATCACAACCCACTTAACCTGTCTGACATTTGGGGGAATTCTGCTGTTCTCAAATGTTTACTCTTAAAAACCAATTCTAGTAACATGTTTATATGAAAAACCTTGTCCACATTTCTGAATCTTTTTCTTTAGGATGGAATCCAAGAAATAGAATTAATGGGCCCAAAATGTTATGATAATATTTAAAGTTAATACATATTGCCAATTTCTTTCCATCAGTTGTCAGAGTTCTCTAACACGCCCCCACCAATGGTAGGGTGTTAACTGTGCTATCGCTCACTACAACTGAGTATAATTCAAACACATCCCTCACTCCAAATTTCAAGCAGGAAAATGACATGATCAGATTGCATAGCAGTAAGGTGATGTTTACAGCTACATGGAGAATAAGTATTAAGGAACATGTCGAAGACAAGGAAGCCACAGATAGGTTACTACAGAAAAGAAATTGAAGTCTAAAATATCAGACTGATACACAGAGACAAAGGAATGATTTTTAGACAGTAGTGCAGTAGAGTGTGTTAAAAGCCACCACAGGACCGGCCGAGTGACGCGATGGTTAAGAACTGGCTTGGGATGCCAGAGGGCCCTGGTTCGGATTCCACATATGAGGGCCAGTGACACTGCCCTCCACAGCTAAGATGCTGAACAACAGCTCAACCTGGAGCTGGGCTGCCGTGAGTCGCCGGCGACGGCGTAGGCTGCAGCCCCTGTGGCAGTGGGTTGCCATGGGCTACCGTATGTAGCTAGCAGCCAGCGTGAGTGGCCATCCAGAGGCCGGCGACTGATCTGCCTCGCCTGGGAAGAGCGCAATGATGGTGCCAACTTGGGCCAGTGAAGCAACGTCCTCCACAACTAGACTGAAGAACAAAAAGACAGCAACTTGTCTGTACCCCTTCCCCCAATTCCCCAGCTCTGTTCCCATCCCCCCAATTCTCCTATAAAAAAAAAAAGCCACACAAAATATAGTTATTTTAAAAATCTACCATTTATTTAGCTTATGATTGGCAATCAGCTGAAACCAGCTGGGCAGGCGTCTGGTTTCGTATGGGCTCATTCATGGATCTGCAGTTGGCTGAGAGCTGGCTCGTCTAGGGTGGCTTCCGCTGGGGTGCTTCCCTTCTGTTCCCTGCGTTCTCTCATCCTCTGCTTAGCCAGCCGGAGCTTGTTCACATGGCAGCCGGGGAGTTTTCCAATAGAGCAGCTGAAAGGATGCAAGGCTCTGAGGCTTAGACCCCAAGGTTGATGTCACTGCCCACATTCTTTTGAGCAAATCAAGCAGCAAGGCCAGTCCAGGTTTGAAGAATTGGAAAATAGATGGAATTCTTGATGAAAAGAGCTACAAAGTTACTCTGAAAAGGGCATAGTACCAGGAGCGGTACAGAACTATGGTCATTTTCAATCCACCACATGGTGTTGTCAGAATTGCTGAATAATGAGAAAAAGGCTCTAGGGAAATGGTGAAATCTAGGCTGAATTTTAGAATTCTGAACTGGTGAACTGGATATAAGTTAATATCATGCACTCACTGAAAAGGGAAGAGGAGTGAGTTTGATTTTAAATGAGTCGAAAATGAGATTTAGGTTGGTGTACAGACAAGAGTTTACTAATATTTGAAGCAATGGATGTGTAAAGTAAGAGTCTTGAAGATGAAATCCCAGAGAACACGACTGTTAAAAAAAAAAAAAAGAAAAGAAAAATAATAACCTAAAGGAGAGTTAGGCAGTATACAAACCAAGTAGGAGTGGTTTAAAAGCAATAAAGAACAGTTAATACTATGAAGCCTCCAAGGCGCATATACGAATCAGTTTTGAAAGAGGTGACATATCATGTGGTACGCCTTAAACTTCTACAGTGATATCTATCAATTATTTCTCAATAAAACTGAGGGGAAAAAAGACCTGATATAAATGGAATTGCATCTGAAAAAGGATCACTTCAGAGATCTCAGAGTAAACATCCACAACTAAAAATACAAGTCATTTTAGTTTGTAATATTTTTTTAAATTCATAAACATTTGAGGAAGCAAATGGGATTACCATTTGATTTTTTTCACTTTATAAGCAACTTAAATGTAAGAAAAGTTTATGAAAGTGTTTTTATCTCCCCAACCATTAGGCAATAAATGATATTTTCAAGATAACTACAAATTACTGAATTTATGGAGTTAGCTGTTATTAACATTGTAGAAATGTATTACATGTTGTATAACAGATTATACAAATGATATTGTAATACTGAATCTTAAAGCTTCTTTTTAACCTTTCATTGTAAATAAACAATGACTCAGGGAGAAAGGACATTTAAGAGAATAACCACATATTAATAATAATATTTAATCATTATGTATTAAAGTAGAAATGATGAAATTTTCAGGATGACAATATATTTAAATAATAACCTTGTTGAAATTGCACATCTATCATTACCATGATATACTTATCTGATGAAGCTAAAACCACAAGGCTAATGCTTGGACAAGAATAGCATTAAAAACAAATTTATATATATATATATAAAAAAATCCACAAGATTGTCCATTTTAAAAGAGCCGTTCTTTGTTTAGTCCAAAAATCAAATCCCCTCCAGCGAGTACTGTCACCTCCATACTGTAAAGTTCCGGCTACCAGTGATCCTTATCTGTATGTTGAAGACAGCATTCATAACAACCCCAAATTAAATACATAGATTTCATTAACACCAGGCATTCTTAAAGCTGAAGAAATAAACTTTAGTTAAAACAAGGGGTTCTGCACTTTAAATGCTTTGTTAAGCCTCACGGTATAGACTAAAATTTTGGCTTCCTGGGCTCAGTAATACTAAATTGCCTGCTGGGTTTAGTGGCTTCTTGCATCAGCTCCTGCAACTGTCCGATTTGTTCATCGCGAAAGTCATTAAGTTTTTCTTCTGGTAGGACGGCTCCAAAACATGCTTTTTCAGTTGAATTTTGTCTGTTTTCATTAGCTTGTTGCCATAGCACTGCTGCATATGCCTAGTAAAGAGAGACAAAGATCATAGATATAAAATTAAAATGAGATCTGTATTCACTCATTTAATATTGAAGGACTTAAAGAATCCTACTTCCACATCATCTATTTTTCTCCATCCCTGAGTTTTCTGCTGTTCGCGAAAATGATGCAAACAATACTATAGCTGTGTCTTTACTATGCAGTGATAACATCAAATATCTTATTTTTAGCGTTGTAAGAGATTTAATAGACTTCTGGCAAAGCTCTTAACCTGGAAAGCTGGGGAGTTTGGTGGGGCAAGGGGTAAGAGTGGCCCACGGATGGGCTTTAAGAACATATAAACCACCCAAAATTGTATGTACACAAACACGCACACTGTTCTGAGGCCATAGCTGTCATTAGATTTTCAATGGGCAGCCATGGGGCTAACAGTTGGTCTCCAAATTGATTAAGTTCATCCCCGTCTTCAATTTAAAAACTAATTTAGATCACAGTAGAGAAAAACGTTTTTAAAACCTTTAAGCCTTCAATATTTAACAACCAACTTTGTCAGGGAAAAAAAATCTACATTTTTCATGATGTACTTTTTCTCTCATTCAGTCAGCATCTTCAGGCTAATAGTCCAACTACCGCTGTCTTGCACAAGTGACGCTCTTTTGAAGCAGACTCTCACTCTAAAATCATCTTTTAATCAGCCAGGAAGTACCACTGTATTTCAGTTCATGAAGTTACAAGATTATATGCACCCTCTGGGTAGGTGAATGAATTCGTTAACTCTAGCTAATGCAGCTACTCTATATCTGGTTTAAGATAATTAAATTGCTTGTAACTGCTGGATTGCCAGCATCACCAAAGAAACTTTAATTACAGACATTTCAAACCTTTCCTTGTATTAGAAATAATATTTTCTTCATGTTTTACAGAAATCCATTTCATAAGTAACCGAAAAAAAACCCAAAACTGTATATACCCTAAGCTTCATCAACCCCACTTCTAAGTATATGCCCCAGAGCAAGGGTTCTCAGCCTTGCCACTGCTAACAAATCAGACAGTTTGGATAACACTGTGTAGTGAGGTGGATGGGAGTCTGTCTTGGCATTGTAGGATATTTAGCAGCATCTCTGGTCTCTGTCCACTAGCTGCATGTACCCCGATAATTACACACTGAGAATGGTATATCACCTCTGTAACGTTCTTCCCATCAATGTCCAACCTCAGTCTAATCATAAGAAAACACCAGACAAACCTCATTACAGCACACTCTACAAAGTAACTGAGCAACAGTCTTCAAATATTTTCATATCATGAAAGCTAAGGAAAGACTAAAGAACTGTCGCAAATTAGAGGAAACTAATTTGAAACTAAGAGGAAACTAAGAGGAAACTAAGAGGAAACTAAGCATGACAATCACACGCAATGTGGAATACTGGATTAAGCCCTACAAAAAGAACGTTAGTGTAAAAACGTAAAGTTGAATATAATAGTTAATAATACTGCACCAACGTTAATTTCTGAGTTCTGATAATTGTACTATAATTATGTAATAGGTTAATATGTAGGGAAGCTGTACTATTTTTGCAACTCTTCTACAAATCTGAAATTAACACAAAATACCAAAAAAATTTTAATTTCAAAAAGAGATTTAACAGATAACTAATTACAATGTATCAATTTATTCTAATTCAAACAAAAATGCTGTTAACAAAAAGAAATGAGTAAATCTCAAAAACTGATTGGCTGTTTAATGATGTTAAGAATTACTGTTAATTTTGGAGGTGTACCAGTGGTATTATGGCCATGATTTTAGAGTCTCTTTTAGAGATAAATATTGAAATATTTGTGAATAAAGGTATATGGTTGTGATATGCTTTAAAATAATTTGTAGGTGGGAATACAGATGAAACAAGACTGGCCGTGAATTGATAAAGGTTGAAGCGGAGTGATGGGTACTTGGTGGTTCATTGTAGTCTCCCTGCATTTGTTTATGTTTGAAGTTTTTCCATTAACTAAAATGTATGTTTATATACATATATGTGTATATGTAACATAAAAGGATGCCCACAAACGTTTGGGGGCAGGTGTTCACATTTCGTTCTGAGTACCTCACTTCTGTACTATTTGATCTCATAATAAATATTTAAATAATGAATAGCTAAGTAATTAAATGGGACAGAAGGAAAGCAAGGAGTAGAGAAGCATACAGAAGAAATTCTGGATGGAGGAAGCTATAGGTCTGGATTGCCATGATTTGTCCTCACAGCTTAGACCAAATCAACTTCCCTATTGTAATTAATTTGACCATAAAGAGTAACAAAAGAAAATTCAAATTCTCACTATTTTGTTTAATCACATATCTACTATTTGCCCTTCTTTGTCCTTTAAAACAAAATTGCAACTGAATAACCCAAAAGTACAGCCAGAAACATTCTTTTTTTTACGTTAAATGTCAATGTAATAAGCCAGAAACATTGTTGATTCTGTAAGAAATCCTGATATATGAAGATCCAAACTGTCAAACTCTATAAATAAAAAGGTAATTAATTTTTTTCACAAAAGGATATTCATATTTAGATAAGCATTTATCATAGGCCCTCCTTTAACAGTGAAGCCAAATCGTTTAACTTCTTTTTTTTTGAACTACATAAATCATATTACAAATTCCCTTACAAGATACGCACATACAGGGCTGCCATGCCCGTAATTTCCTGGAAAGCTAAAATGACAGCAATTTTTCAGTGTTGGCAAGTTCAATTATTTGTATTCCTTCTTCAACATAAACTCCCCCATAGGGGACAACTAGTAGAAGGGAAAAGTTACCCTTCTCCCAAAATTATTCAATTATTGTAGGATTTTTATTAGCAACCTTGAACCAACAAACTTAAGTTGGCAGCATTTAGTCAAGTTTTCCCTAGAGAACCGATTAAAAATGCCATGTCTCCTTAAGGATCAAAAACCAAAAAAAAAACACCCCCCTCCATATAAAACCTGAAAGTTACCAAAATTATAATAACTAAATTCAAAGCCACCTTAGGGATTTGAACCACAGCTGCCCAAGTCATTAATACAAAAATGGAATCTATGTTGGCAATGACAATACATTTGATTTTTTGGTTCTCTTTGACCAGGCTTTATGATTTTCAAGTCATTGATGATAGAGTATCCATTTTTACAACACAAAAAACATCAAATAATAACCTTTACTATCTCTTAGCCCCCAACACTGATAATGCATTACACTGATTCACAGAAAAACAGACTAGACAGTAGCACTAGTGTCACCATTAAGCGTATTTCTCAGGTGGCCCTGCAGCTTGGCCTCCCTGGAATCACGTTCCCCAGGTCCCTCTGCCCAGTGAAGTAACCAGACGCCGGACTCGCTCCTGACTCCAGGGATGAGCAAAAAAGGTGTCAGTTACTCCTTACAACGGGGCAAAAAAAAGTGTCTAAAAACAAGAACATGGAAGGTTCCTGGTTAGGGAAGTAAGGAAACGTCGAGATCTGGTTCACAAATGCCTTTCACAGTTGTGTTTACTATGAATTCCTTGACATTAGACATATACAAATCAAATATATGATGATGGACGAAATGAGAAGTCAGTACAAATAAGCACATTCCTGTTCTGAAATTAATCCAGACGTTCCTAGAAGCTTAATAGTAATAGCACTGTACTAAGGTAAATTATACTACATAACTGATGTAGTATTTTTTTTTTTAAGATTTTATTGGGGAATTGGGGGAAGGGAACAGCGTTGGGGAATCCGGGAAGGGGAACAGACAAGTTGCTGTCCTTTTTGATGTAGTATTTAGATGATTTAGATTGTGAAGGCCACGCTTCACCATCTAAAAATAGATTCATAAAAGTAATTTTAAAAATACATTTTACTGATCATTTCAAAAACTACAGAGGTAAATGGATTATCTTGCATTTTTCTTTCATTAAATGCTTATTCTAGTTGTCAATTATCTAACTGCAGAAAG